TTTTTTTTTTTTTTTTTTTTTTTTTTTGTGACCTTTGGAGAGTGTTCTGTCAAAGAACGTTTTTAGAATGAGCAAGTCCCTGGAGTAAGTAAAAGTTACAATTTTTTAAAATTCCAAAATTCACAGTAGTCTCATAGCCTGCCTTTATTTTCTTTTATCTCCCTGCTCTCTTCCATCCCTATCCTACTCCAAAGTATTACTAGATTAGTTATCTATTCCTGCATAATGAGTTCCCTCACTAGTTAGAGATTTAAATAGTGAGCATGCAAGATCTGGCAGTTTCTGTAGGCCAGGGAGCAGCTAAGGTGGGTGGTTCTTTCTGTCTTAATTGTCATGCGGTTCCATTCAAGTTGTAACATGGGGCTGCAGTCACAGAAAAACTTGACTGGCTTGACTGGGCTGGAGGATCCACTTTCAGCTTGGCTTACTCACATGGCTGTTGGCAGGAAGCCTTAGTTCTTCTCTGTCTTTGGCAGGAGACCTTAATTCTTTACCACATAGGCAACTCCAGAGGGCTGATTGAGTATTTTTACAACATGGCTTCCTAGAGATCCGAAAATAGCAAGCTAGAAGCTACAGTATTTTTTGTTACTGACCCTCAGCAATCAGACTTCTAAGTACAGTCCACATTGAAGGAGAGAGAAGTTAAACTGTACCTTCAAAGAAAGGAATAGTAAAGAATTTGTGGATGTGTTATTAAACCACCCCCACCTTCTCCAAGAGGATTTATTAATTTATCTTTATTATTTTGTCACCTGTCCCTTTAACTTCTTTTCTAGTAGCTTTCCCAGCGTATAAATGTGTTTAGATATGAATCATTTTAAAAATTAAGGAGACAATATAAATCCCAGGCCGGATGTAGTTCAGTGGTACAGTATTCACCTATTACTCAGAAGGCTCTAGGTTTGCTCCCTAGCACCACAAAAATAAAATGTAGTAAGTAAATAAATGAAAATCCTTTCCTTAAATGATTCTATAGCTATGAGTTCTTCCCTTTTCAGCTAAGCTACTCAAAGGAGAACTTACCCCCTCACTCCGTTCAGTCCCTCCCTTGTGCGAATTCAGCTGCAGTAGTTACTGCACTGAGACTACTTTCCCTAGAGTTCTAAAATAGAGATTACAGTGTCAGTGGAAACATTATTTAAGTAATATACTCATAAATTTTCTGAATTTGAAGGGAAAAAAACATTTAGTCATGAAAATTGTTACTTTGATAATATTTTTTCCAAGTAATTTCTATTAAAATTTACAGTTAAAACACTATGCTCCGGGGCTGGAGAGATGGCTCAGCAGTTAAGAGCACTGACTGCTCTTGCAGAGGACCTGGGTTCGATTCCCAGCACTCACATGGCGGCTATAAACCGTCCTTAACTCCAGTTCCAGGGGAATCCGACGCCCTCTTCTGACCTCTGTGGCATTGCACAACACGGGTGCACTCACATGCAGGCAATACATTCATACACATAAAAATATTAAAAAACACTATGTTACTTAATTAGAATGAGTTGCATCTGATTTTTAAACATTCAGATACTGATTTGTGTATGCAAGTTTAAACTAAGCTTATTTTATGCAGATAATTTTTTTCTCTGTACAGTTGGAGAAGATGGACAAGTAAAAGTCTGGTCAAAGACTGGGATGCTTAGATCAACTTTAGCTCAACAAGGTATGCTTTAGAAGTGATGATTTTAATTTTGAAGATTGTGGAATACAAAAGTATCTTAACATTTTCCTTTAGAAATAATCTGGGCATGGTGGTACAAGACTTTAATCCCAGCACTTGGAAGATAGAGGCAGAGGCAGGTGAATCTTTGTGAATTTCAGGCTGGCCTGGTCTATATAGTGAGTTCCAGGCCAGGGCTACTAGCGGGACCCTATCTCTAAACAAAAAAAGAAAAAACAAGTATCTTTTATAGTGGCTGAGATTTACTTTGGTTAACCTGAAATCTTTTGTTTCTATTTATACTTTTTTATGTTTATTTATTTGCTTAATTATTTATTTATCTGTGATAAAGGGCTTTTCTTTATGTTCGTGAGCTTTAGGAGAGTGGCCTCAACATTTGGGTTCCTGGAACAGTGATTTGTCAACTTTTGTGTACCAGAGACCCTTTTGGCATCTGGTAAAACCTATCTGTTCTCAGGATAATGTTTTGGAGTACACAACATGAGTCCATCAAATTATAAAAGAAATCACTTCCAGCAGGGCGCAGTGGCACATGCCTTTAATCCCAGTACTTGGGAGGCAGAGGCAGGTGGAACTCTATGAGTTCAAGGCCAGCCTGGTCTACATAGTGAATTCCAGGACAGCTGGGGCTACAGGGAGACCCTGTCTCAGAAAGACCAAAAAAAATATAAATAAATAAATAAAAATAAAAAGATTCTGAAGGTTTTGGAGTATATCCTATACAAACTAGTGTTGGTATCTAGTTAAAACTATCGAACAGGGTATAGTGGTGCATGCCTGCAATCTTGGTACTCAAGAGACTAAGGCAGGAGGCTTATGAATTTGAGGCCAACTTGGAATACATGGCAGGGTCTTATATTCCAAGTATTCAAAAAAAAAAAAAATCACAAGGACTCAGCCAATAAGAGCAGAGGACCTGGGGCTGGAGAGATGGCTCAGCAGTTAAGAGCACAGACTGCTCTTACAGAGGACCTGGGTTCGATTCCCAGCACCCACATGATGGCTACGAACCATCCTTAACTCTAGTTCCAGGAGAATCCGAAGCCCTCTTCTGACCTCCAGGGCATTGCATGACACAGGTGCACTCACATATATGCAGCCAATATATTCATACACATAAAAAAATAAATAAATAGAAATTATATAAAAAAAAGAGCAGAGGACCTGAATTCAGTTCTTAGCACCCGCATCAGGTGGCTCACTACTGCCTATAATTCCAGCTCCAGGGGATATGACACCTCTGTGCTCTGCAGGCACCAGCACTCATGCCTATATCTACACACAGGCACCCATATACACATAATTAAGAATAAAAATAAATTTAAAAAAATCATGTGGCAGGGATTTAGCTTATTGGCAGAACACTTGTCTAGCAAGCACATGACCCTGGGTTCAGTCCTGTTGGAGTGAAAAAAATGAAAGAAAACCATGTAAGAGGAGATATTAAACATAACCTTCTTAGTTTAAAAGTAACAATAGCCAGGCATAGTGGATCATGCCTGTAATCCCAGTATTTGGTGACTGAGGCTGGAGGATCTCCATGAGTTTGAGGCCAAACTAAGTTTTATAATAGCCAGTTCTATTCCAGCCTGAGCTACATAATGAAACTATGTCTCAAAACAACACACGAAAAACGATAACTTCATAATATTAGCATTCCTTCTAAATTATGTTGAACCTTGGTTTCTGTCCCGGTAGAGGGAATAGACACAGTGATGAACTGGAATGGTAACTCACACTACTAAAGAGCATCTCAGTGTTCTGTGCAATGAAAGGAGTGGCAGTAAATCAGTCCAGTGTCCATTCCTGTTGGGGCATAGATTACATATATAAGTTCTTACTGTATGGCATATTCACCTTCCTAATTAAGTTTTACCTAGAACACAAAGCAGTTTTAATGTTGACCTAAACAATGTATGAGCTGATCTGTAGAGACAGGCTGCTAAAATACATGCAGATTATTGCTCAGAATTATATGATAAACTTGTAGTATCAAGTGTTTATCACTAATCCATTTTAATTTATGTGTCTGTGTCAGTATATGCCGCATGTGGATGTCTCTAGAAGTCAGAAGAGGGCATCAGATCTTCAGGAGCTGGAGTTACAGGCAGTTGTGAGCCACCTAGTATGGGTTCAGAGGTCTGAACTTGGGTCCTTTGAAAGAGCAAGAAACGCTCTTAACCAGTGAGCCATCTCTCCACCCCAATAATTTCCTTTTTAAAATTGTGCTTACTCTTAGAATAATGTTAAAGCTGCAATTTTAGCTATCCACTAGTCAAATGTTAACAAAAATAACCAGAAATCCTTAATAGTGTTTCTCTTCTGAGGTGAATTCTTTTCTACCCATAATCTCTAAGGAGACTATTCATGAATAGAAAGTTTTAGAATTCTCAGAAGCAGTCATAGGTGTATTTCAGCTTAAAAGTCAATTTATTATTAACTTGGCAATAAAACAATAAAAGGTACCTTGAGAAAATAATCTTACTTTAATCTTAAGAATTTTTTGAGTTTTTCTTTTTATGTGTATGAGTGTTTTGCCTACGTATATTTAAGTGCACCCATGTTATACATTGCTCACAGAGGCCAGAAGAGGCTGTTGTATCCCCTGGAACTGGAATTAAGGATGGTTGTTAGCCACTACATGGGTGCCAAGAACAGAACCCAGTTCCTCTGCAAGAGCAGCCAGTGTTCTTAACCACTGAGACACCCCTCCAGCCCTCTCACTTTAATCTTTTAATGGGCATGGTGGTTTTCTTTTCACTTTTTACATTTTCTCTTTGTCAGTGCTGGAGCTGGAGCTCTCATCCAGGTCCTTATAACTACTAGGCCAAGTGCTCTGCCACTGAGGTACATATAGCCCCAGGCCCCATAGATTTTTATTTTCCTCATATGGCTAATTATGTGACATTCTTAACTTTGTAGTGAATGACTGATAAGCAATTGTCAGAATTCTTCTGGCGATCACTAATCTCTTGGAAGGACCACAGGAAATTTCAGCAATGTCAGCGCTTGCTGCTGCTGGGATATTCTCCTTTCCTTGCTCTATCAATTTTGTTGCCTACCAGTAACATAGATCTTCAGAGAAATGCTGAAAGTTTATCCCACTAACCAACATAAAATTTTTATATTCTTTCTCAAGGTGTTTCATTTTTATTACTGGTGGGTTCTCTATTATTATTATTATTATTATTATTATTATTATTATTATTAGTTTTTGTGGTACTAGGGATTGAACCTAAGACCCTCTCATGCCATATTTTGCCTCTGAGCTACCCCTCCATCCTCGGTCTCTGATTATCATTGGGTAAGTTTTGAGGGTATTTGCAAATCAGCAGAACTGAAAGTAACATGCTAAAGACTCCAGTTTGAAGGCAAGGCAGGTGGAGAATGATTCCTGCCTTCTATGAAGAGGAGAATTGCAGACTTCAATACTAAAAAGGAAATAATGCAAACTCAGATTACTGTAAAAGTTGGAATGGCATAAACAGTTATCATTGTAAGAAACACAACTCTCACCTCAAAGGGGATAAGAGAGCCTTTACTCTGAAGCCAAATTTGAGTGACTGTTGGTTCCAGGAACACAGATTTAGGTTAGCCCAATGTGGCAAACAGTTCCATGAAGTTTTCATAGTAATAGAACAAAGAAAATCACAAATCAAGACATTTTCAAGTACATTGGTGGAAACATTAGGTAGGTAGACATGTTATAGTAAAGCAGCGGAAATCTTTGCTATTGGCCTCAGATGTTTTGGGTTGATGGAAGCCAGGGGTCTGCTAATTTAGTACATTCCCAAAGGTTTTAGCTCCTAGTCACAGGATGTTAGGTCAGACAGAGATGAACAAGGAATGGCCATTACAGGGCCTACAGATGGCCCAAGATAAACTGTGTAACATTCCAACTTCTGCAAAATCATTGAAATTCTGTCAGATAATCAGCCTTGAAGAAGGTTCAGTGGAAAGTGTGGCTTCTTTCTGGGAACTTTCATTCACACAGTATTGGAAGCATCCTTGTGACATTGTCTATATGCCTATGTTAATTCCTCTAATTTACCTTGCATGTCACTATTAATTAGGGTAATCTACCTAAAAGTCTATCATTTTTTCTTACTATTTTGCTCAATGTTTTAGGGGTTTTGTTGGTGGTGGTTGGTTGGTTTTGTTTTGTCTTGTTTTTGTTTTATTTGGGGTGTTGCTGTAGCTGTCGTTAGGTTTGGAGGTCATTAGAGTCTACTCAAGCAGGCCTCAAACTGGCGATGTAGCTGACGATGACCTTAAACTCCTGACCCCCCAGTTTCTACCCACCAAGGACTGGGATTCCAATCATGTGCCACTATACCCAGCTCAATTTTTCTAAGGTTCTATATGATTACTGAATAAACACCAAACTCCTTCATTTAGCATTCTGGGCTATCATTTTGGCCCCCTGACAGTACTGCCCCCCACCACACCTGCTACCTGACCCAAAGAGTCTGTTCCACCTACCTGACTTTACAAATAAGGCTATTTCCTTACCTAAGTTCTTCATTCTTCAAACCCAGGAAAAAATAAGCTACAACATCTGGGGAAAGGTTTTTCTAATACTTATAATCTACTAATAAAACATTAACCTCTCCAGTAGCATTTTATAGCAATTTTATATTTCCAATGTACCTTTTTTTTTTTTTTACTGATTTCATCATACATAGTTCAATGTTTTATCATTCCATTCCTGTTTGAAAACAGGAAAATGGCCTTAAAGATTTGATTAGTTTATTCTAATCTGAATCCATAATTAAAATATACAGTGTAACATGGATAGGGCTTAATTATAATTATTCACAACTTACACATTTTTCTCAAATAACAACTAAAAACTCCAGATAGGCACCAGTAAGAATAATTTCTAAGCTAAGTCAAATTGCATTCTACCCAAGTTGGGATTCATCTTCTGTCTTAGAAAAGAGAGTAGTAACTATGACTTTCTAGGTAAAAACCTGCTCCAG